AAGTAAAGAAGAAATAAATATAGAAATAGAAGAAGGTTGGAAATGGATAATAGGGGTGATTCCAAGAGACCAGTATAGGAGACCGGCTGGAGGAAGGATGAGCGCTCCGAGTCCGGACACTGCCTCGAGCGCTCCCCCCACTCTCCGCTTGCTCTTACTTGCCGATTCTGCGCGTCGAATTTGCACGCACACAGTTTTGGGCAACTTCCAGTACTTCTAAGTATGTTTGGCCGGAATTTCCGATTTATAAGTGTTAATAAATAAATTTAAAATAATAAATTTAATTAATTATTTTAATGTTCCAAACACCGAATATATTAATATTTCAATTTGAACGTAATTTATTTTCGATATTCTACCATTTCAATTCAATTTCGATCTACTCCGTATGTTCTGCGAGGTTTTGATTTAACATACAATACTTCTCAAGGACTATTGAAAAAGCCTATTGATGAAACATTTGTCAAAAATTGAGGTACACTTTCTTAAAAATGTCCTGGAAATAGGCTTTTTTAATAGTTCTTTAGAAGTTCTATAGTTCCCGATCTCATTCTAAGGGTTGCTTTGGGAACCAGCGAAGAATAGCGGAGAACCTCTGCCCGCCTAGCTACGCGTTCGTGTTCACGTTTAGCTCGGCTACGACGGGATTCGCATTGTCGACGGAGGCGATGATCACAAAATCCTACTTCCAGACTCGTCGCTACGATTTAGCGCCATGCTTTTGGTATCGCCTAAAACCGGAGCGTTGTTCATCTCCATACTCATCTCTGGCAGCTAAGACGGAAGAGCAACCCCCGATCACGGTCTTACATACATGTCTTGCAACTCCGTTGGAGGCGGTAGTCTTCTTAAAGAAGCATCCGATTAAGCGACTCATTACTATTTCTGTCCCACAGCCGACTTTAGAGTGAAATGGACAAAGGGTCGCTCGATCCCAGCAAAACTTGCGACTGAAAGTTAAAATGCACCCTGCTTCTTTAAGACGGCTACCACCACCGCTGAAAATTGGGCGAGCTGCAGAACCTGTATGTAAGACCGTGCGCCCGACACCATGGGCTATGTGTAGCTACTCCAACAGGGCTAATACCCTCATGGTACTACCTGACGGAATATACTCAACCCGACCAAGAAAAAATAGGGAACGTAGTATATAACAGTAAAGACGAGATACAGAAATAAACAAGTGCAACAGTGGAAAGTAAAGAATAGAAGTAGAGGGTAAGACTGAAATAAGAAAATAAAGAAGGAAGGTAATGAAAAAGAAATACAGAAGACGAGGAGTAATGAGGTGAAGAAGGAATTAATTAAAAGAGAAATAAATTAATAATGAATTAAAGAACAATTAAATGAAGAAATTAATAAAGAAAGTCGAAAAGGAAGTAAATAGTTAAAGGAGAGATAAAGAAAGGAATAGATAACACGAAACCATCCATGAGAACAGTATAGAAAATCGGCTGTTGAAAGAATGAACGCTCCCAGCCCGAGCAACTCCTAAAGTCAAATGATTTAAACAATCGTAAATAAATTTCTGCGCAGCGATTTTTCATTTATCTTGGTTTTCTTTATAAATCAGTTCGATAACATTCGTTTGATCGATATGCGACATTCCTATGTTAATTACTTTTCTATCTACAATTTTCATTAATGATTATAAACATTCAGCCATCGAGAACAGAGACTGCACAATTCCAGAACCAATGAAAAACAGCACTCTCGACAATTTCCCAAATAATGTATTTCTTTCATTTTTGTGTATTTTTTTTTTGTTCACTTAAACCTAAGAGTAGCAATAATAGTTTCATTATAATAACATATTTCGTTAAAATTACATTTATCATAATCGCATTCGTCATGATCATCATTCACGGTTATTCAGGACAATTGCAAAGCCTGAAGATGGTTCTGCCATAGGATTTATTAGAAATCAAATGAACAGAACCATCTTCAGGTGGTTCAATAGTCCCGAATAACCGTGTACGCACCCGTATATATTTATATATATATTGCATGTGCTACATCTGTATATATATAAATATACATATATATCTATTCCATTTAATTTAATTTTTTTTTTTTTTTTCTTTACTGTGAATTCATAATAAAGCAATTTAACACACGCACCCTTGCGTCAACGATGCGTTTCTTTACCTTTCCTAAACTCCACAATTGTATGCAAATTTTTGTATAAACAAGTATTTTTTAAGAAATAAAAGCACTGATCCGGACACGGGATGTTTAGAAAATTACATACAATGAACATTAACCGTCAACAGTTTTCACTTACTCACGCATTTACGTAATAAGGTCAGTAATACAAGTCTCTAATTTTTATTAATGAAGAACGAATTCATTTTTATTTGTTCTCCCGTCTTTCCCACGCACAAATCAATCGTACTTCAGTGACCCCGCACCGGATAGACGCATAGTTAGCAAATTGGCATAATGAAAAATTCATTTTTAAAAAACTAATATGCCTCGTATGAAAGATTTTCTACTATTTGAGAATATGGAGAGGAGGTACAGAGCTAGGGACGAGGGTTTGACATAGCATAAAAATTGCCGTATCGAAAAGCATTATGCAATTTGAAAAAAAAAAGGACAACAGTTCGTTTCAGAAATTTAGAATGGATATAGAGAAAGGGGAGACAAGCAGAGAAATTAATTTTTTTGGGTTTCTATGAACCATAAGGAAACGAAATTTGGCGAATTTACTTAATTGCAGTTTATAAAAATCGATAGTGCGCATGCGCAATTATCATTACTTATGGAGTAACGCGCGTTCATTCATAATTTCCACGCGGACCTGATATAAATTATGATTCGTTTGCCAGTAACAGCAACACTTGACAATATCTAAGAAATTCGATTGAAATTTCTCTCTTTAAAGAATATTATACAACTTGTCACTGTAAGTGAAATTCACTCAGAAAATTATAATGTCAAGACATGATCGATTCCACCAATAGCAAATGTCCATTAACACGTTTACTGCCACGGTATTTTTCAGAATTAACCCAACTACCAGTTACCTCGTAGTTTGGCAGTCAACGTGTTAATGCATTTTCGCATAAATATACGTACTGTAAAAAAAATGTCACCGCTAACACCGTGCTAAATTCTTCGAGTGACATTGACTGTTATCGACGTAACATATTTCGCTAAATATATTTTACCAATATAAATAAAGATTTATCTCACATAGCGACACGATTGGCAAGATCGGCAAGATCGATACGGTTATTGGACAGGAGTATGATTAAATTTTCGTCTGAGTAATTTTTATCAAGACGATTAAAAGGACAAGCACGACTATCTATTATCCAGGTTTTAAAATCGAATACCTGTTACTATCTGGGTACTAAACACTGTCCGATCGAAACGCTCACGCGACCTTAACTCTATATGCCTTAATTACATGCCGGGTCTTCTGAAACTGCATATCGAAGGACGACATTAATTGTGAAATGCAGGAAAATACAAGCGACCAATAACAAATGTACGTGCGACGCGGCGACTGCGCAATCGCAGAAGACGAATCCGTACGTCTCGCCGTAATTTACCAATTTACAAAAGAAAAAATGAGTGTAAAGAATATTGAGATGTTAATGAGCAACAAAGTCGATACTTAAGAACTTGATCTACGTAGTCCCCGATCGTAGCGGACAAAGAGCAGAGACAACTGCGCATGCGCACGACAATCGAGCGTGAGTTAATCTCTCAGATGGAAACAAGGTTGCGCAATGCGTCGTTACCGAGAAAATCGTATGATAAATCTCAACTAACAAATTGTACATTTTTCAACTTTCTTTAAAAAAAGGTGACGCGCGCGTTCTCCAAATTGCGCTGGTGGCGCCTCTTAGCGGCTTCTTTTTTCTTCGAGTTAGCTGACTGGATGTTGCTGCTGAATAGAGTATTGGAGGACAAAGATTTGTCTCTAATTTTTTTGTTCTTCAGAATCGTCATCTGAGACTGCTCCACATGAAGAAGTAAGAAAAAAGAAGCGAGAGATGCTCTTTTGGACTATAAATTGAGACTTCCAGTCAATCCTGTCGCGCAGATTCTCGTGGAGCGTGCAATCTGACCTGCGTGTCTTATTTTCTTTTCTTTGTTTTCGTGCGCGCTCGAGATTCCTCTGCTTGGCGACCTTAACAGGCACAAGAATCTCCTTTGCCGTTACTCCTTTGGTCGTTAGTCAATTTGATCTGATCGGGAAATTCGTTGTATAGCTCCACCTGAAAGATAGAATACAATTGATTGAAGATCGCGGCAGTTATTAATAATGACAGATCTTTAAATCATTTTATTTTAAATTACCTCACTCTCTTGCGCTAAAGCGTTCTTCGCTATCGTTTGAAAAGCCTGCTCGACATTAATAGCCTCTTTTGCGCTAGTTTCGAAATACGGTATGTTGTTCTTCAATTGGCACCACTGTTGTGCCCGCTTGCTGGATACCTGGAAGAATAATTCTAGTTAATTAAAGTAGAACGTTATTGGGGCATTTTAATGGTATGTTGCTTCGTTTGGTGAACCTACTGCTCTGTTTTCAAGGTCAACTTTATTGCCGAGCACGACGAACGGGAAGTTGTCAGGATCCCGCGGCGACGCTTGGATAAGAAATTCATCTCTCCAGGAATCTAAAGACTTGAAGGTATTAGGCGCCGCAACATCGAATACTAGGACGCAACAATCTGCGCCTCTGTAAAAAGCAACTCCCAGAGATTGAAACCTTTCCTGGCCTGCTGTATCCCAAATCTATTGAAAAAATAAGCAAATTGGTATATCGCTTTTATAAAGAATTAAAATTGAAATAGACTTTACAACTTAGAAAGTAATAAATAAAATATTACCTGCATGGTGACTATCCTGTCATCAACCATCACTTCCTTCGTAAGGAAGTCAGCACCGATAGTGGCTTTGTATTGATTACTGAATTTTTTATTAACATACTGATTCATCAGAGAGGTTTTGCCAACTCCCGAGTCTCCCAAAATAATGACCTTGAGCAGTACTTTTTTGCGGGAAGCCATTTTACGTCCTTAACTAAAAGATAAATAAATTTCTGTTAAACGTATCTTTGATTGCACGATATAAAGTTCTATGCTGCTATTTACAGCAAGTGAAACATGTTCACTACACTACCAAAATAGGATTTCAAAGCAGCTCAAGATAAGCTCTATAATGTGATTAGATTTTATGCATTACTATGTTACCCTGTTTTACTTCGTCTAAACTTTATCCTGTTACCTTAACCTTGACTAATTAATAATGTCTACCATTTGACCGATCAAATTACATACAAAAACAAGCAGATAATATTAATCTAAAACAATTGGAATGTTCGATAACAATAAAAAATAACCATGACAGTTACCAAGGAAGAATCTAAATACTCATTAAGAAGTTAAAACATATAGCTAACACATTCTTAATAAGAGAACACAATATCTTATGCAGCTATAACTTATATATATTATGTACATAAGTAGATTTGAATACAATGAATAGTCAATTTAAAAGGAAGCAAGAGAAAAGTACAAATAAAACTTTCAACATTACAAAATATATTTCACATTTAACTAAGCCAAATTAGATGTCAATGTATAATCTACTTTCGCATTTATTACTTAGTCCAATATAAAGGAATGGTGAAAATCAAAATTACCTCTACAAAAGTGAACTCAAAAAACTTAGAGGTATCGAGCAAAGAATAATAAATGTAAATTACAATGCTGCACTGAGATACTGCAATATTTTCATGCACTGACTACTATTTTCTAATGAATCATCATTATAAGTGAACTGGAAAACTACTCTCTAATAAATGACGCACGTACTTTGTCTTTAAAAAAAACCATTTCTACGACAGTAACATTTCGAAAATATTACTAAAAGGCATCGCCGTCTTCCTTATTAGATGATTAACAAAAATACTTACAATGCGAAATCGAATGGTATTATTTTAAGATAACGAGAGTAGAGTAGAAAATTATAAACCAATCCCAATTATAACTACGAAGCTTCAAACCTGTCAAGACACTACTTAATAAATGCCAAGTTTTCGTATTCTTGGCAAGTGTCTACAAATAAAACACACACGTACTTGGCGTCGGATGAACTAGTCGAAGATCGTAATAATTCATAAATAATAATTACCAAAGGAGATACCGTCAATTCCAATGAAAATGCGATGATAAACCTTTCTGCTCGAATGCTGCACACAAAGAAAATGGCGTATTATGAAATGATGAGAGTGACAACGATGTCGTCACCTGTTAGTTTATCGACCAGACAAGATCGATTCTCGAATTGCGATATTGTACTTTCGACTTGAAACTCTCGAATGTTGACAATTCAAATTGTTGATACAAAATGTCAATAAATGACACAAATTATTGTTTGCTGTACTATTTTGTTGTAAACATTAATTTCATTGTAAAATTTGGCAATACTTCATCAACATATACATTATTATTGTGAATAATTATGCGAGGCGTATTCTTGTTTAGATTATAGGGTATCGCTTTCACATGAGTTGATTTTATCATGTAGGCATGACTAATATTCATACCAGAAGTTTAAACAGAATGACTAATTTTGTGATAATATACTGTGACAATTGAATAACAGCCGACATAGGAATATAATAAAGGCATAAAAGAAGAACTTTGTGTATTTCATACCTCAATTATGCAAATACTTTGTCCGTTCTCAGGCTTGAAGTTATAATTAACTACCAATGATAACATATCCCCAATAGATTTTCTTTATAATATATAATAAAGCTTTATTACAGTATTAAACATATTATTTAAATAATTTTGTTCCCTTTTAAATAGCTATCCACTACTAGTTATACAATTTTTTTAACAGCTGACATTTAGCAAACATACCTATAATGATTTTAGAATATATTAAGTTAATTACGATAGAAAAATATGATATATAAATTTTAACACAAAAAGATTATTTATAGTCGCATTAAAAGCATAGTAACCATATATCCTTATAATATCGGAATTATTTTATTAATTATCTGTACTGAGCAATAATCAATACAGCTCATTTAATTTTAGATCTCGAAAGTGTGTATTTTTTTGGGCTTCCTAGGCGGAACATTTTTATCAACGTTAAATTGATATTTCCTTTTTCTAGATGGAGCTTTAACAGGTGCTGTAGTTTGACTATTTAGAGCACCATCTACTTTCTCTTCCTGATCAGAATAGTCAGAAGAATCCTCATCGATATCTCTGAGTGGCATCGTAAAGTGATCATCTCTACTACGCTTAATAGATGACAACCCCCTAAAAAATCAATTTATTAAAATGTTAATACGAATTCATTATTATGTTATATAAATAATTTTTTCGAAATCAGAATCTCATGATGCACTTACCTACTATCTCGGTAGAGCCTATAGAATATGCCACTTCTATTTAACTTTGTTAATTTCTTTACAAAATTTTCATCGTGACTAATCACAATCAACTGAAAATTCTTTTGATATTTAGACCGCGCCTTCACTATGCTGTAACGTTCAAAAAAATCTAGTTATAACAATAAAACATTCCCGAAACCCACAATTGTTTCTTTGTACTACTTCATTATTCAACGAAGACGCAGAAAGAACATAATTAACTTACGTAGTAATTGCATCCGCCAAACTCTCAGCATTCTGTTCATCGAGATTTGTTGTTGGTTCATCCAACGCAAGTACTCCACAATTTTTGCAGAAGGTTTCTGCCAGTGCCATTCTTATAATAATAGACGCCAATACCTTAAAAAAATCAATATAACATACATAGATCTGTCAGTTAATTTAAAGAAAATCAATCATTTTATTTACTCTTTGACCAGCACTGCAACGACCCTTCATATCCATTTCAGCGCCATGTTTTCTTTGGACTAATTTATATTTGAACTGCCGTCGCTTATCACCTGCTTCCGTAGCTTCCGCTTTTATTTCAATTCCTGTTGTATCTGTTCCTTTGTAAACAGTACGCCACATATGTTTAATTATTTTGTTCACTGTTGATATACGTTCCTCGTGATACTCAATCATGGCACGATCAAGAGCTTTGACGTATTCCTTAAGATTAACTACGATCTCTTGTTGTACCTTTCATTAAAAAAATAAATAGTTTGTTAATTATGCGCATCAAAGTAATTAAATAAAGTTGATAGTTATAGAACTAATATACTCAACCTCTAATTCAATGCATTTTTTCTTGTAATTTGTTCGCGCCATTCTATACACTTCATTTTTCAATTCCTGCTGCATCTGCGCTACAGATCTTTCTAATTCTTCTTGTTTTCCGCTAGCAATATTTTTCTGAAACAACAAACAACGCGTTGAAATGGGTATGAATTCACAATATTGCAACATTGTTCAACATTGTATTCGTGTAATCACCTCACGCAACAACTTCTCCTCCTTCTCGTTAAGCTTTTTATATTCCTGTATTAAAAGTTCGTGCTGCATTTTTTTCATAGAAACTTCTATTTTTAATATTTCCTGCTCAAGACTTTTGAGCTCCTCTTCCTTTTGCCGTAATGTGATGTTGTCGACTAATTCACGCTTGCGCACTTCCTGTCGCATAACATCCTTCTTGATCTGATCGATTCTTTTTTCTAAATCAGCTTTCGTAATTTTCAATTCTTCGCATGAGTTTTCATATCGCTTCATCTGTTGTTCCGCGCTCAATAATTTTTTGTGAACACCACGTTGTTCGAAATCGTCTATTTGCTTTTGCGTATTTGTCAGTTCGTGCAGCCGTCTTGATCCTTCGTGAATTTTTCTTTCTTCAACTTCCCGTTGTTCTTTATGTTTCGTCTACAAAAAAATTTAAAAAACATCTGGTTCACAAAATTATATAAAACATGAATTACCTCATTCACAACAAAAGCAAGAGCGAAGTTCAGTACTATTGGTCAAATTTGGTCACCTTAGTTTTTTCAAGTTCTTGTATTCCACTCGTCAATTGTTCATCAGCTCTAGATAACTTTTCTCTCAGATTTTGTACAGATTCACCCAAAGAAATCTCACGTGCATACAAATCGTTCTGCTTATCGCGCAATTGCTGCAACTTCTGCATTTCTGATTGGATACGAAGTTGTTCTTCATACAATTCATTTCTTTTGTGTCGAGCTTGTTGCAATTCCTCGTTATGCAGATTTAAAGATGTTTGCATTGATTCAATTTCCTTAGAAACTTCTTTCAGTTGTTGCTTCAGTGAATCCCTTTCGATTTGTGCCTCTTGAATTGTTCTTTCACTTGTGACGCCTGATTACAACAATTATATGACATTTAATTAATTTTTATTTAATGACCCTCTACACTACTTTTTACCTGCGTCAAATATACGCTTTTTAATTGATGCTAATGTACGATTCAATTTGACCAACTCATCCGCATATTTATCCCAAAGTGCAACGTCGCCAACCATGTCTTTACACGCAGACAATTTATTTTCTGGATCCAATGTTGAAACTCTCAGCATTTCAAGTTTCTTGCAAGAATCTGCCAACTGTTTTTTTCTTTCCTCCAGCTGGACTCTGTATTAATAAAATATGTTAATAATATTGAATATTAATTGTATTAATAATGTTAAGGTTTACTGCATACGGCACCTTAGCCTTTTTAATTCAACTCCCTCAACATGTGCGACCTTTTCCACGATTGGTTTCAATTGAAGCAAAGATTCGTATTTCTGTTGTTGAATCTTTAATTCCTCCTCGCATGACTGTAAACGACTGGGTCCCATATCCTCTCGAATTTCGGTAATAAGATTTTTAACTTCCAAAGTAGATTGAAAATCCCGATGACACAGAGGACAGGAAGGATCTTCCTCTTCCAATTGTTTTAGGTAGTCCTTATACGCGACACCACGATATGCATACATTCCACGTTTTTTTTGCAATTCCTTAACAACTTCAGATTGTGACAATACAACGTCTTCGTAATTCTCATACTCACAGTGAAAAGAAATTTTTTCCTTGTCAGCTGAAACAAAAAAAAATCAATAATTGTGACGAATGAATCGCAACGGTCCATATTTTTCGTATCAGAATAAAAGAAAGACTCTCAAACGAGAATTTACATTTCAGTGTTGCAATTTTATGTTTTAGTTCTTGTTCGATATGCTTTATAGTTGTTTCTAAAGATGAAACACGATTTTGTTCCGATTGTAGTTCTTGATTCAAATTGTTGATACGGCCCATCTGTAATAAATCATTCCTTATTATATTCCTGTTGATTGCACATTACCTCAGGATATAAAAGGTTTTGGACATTTTTTAAATTTAAAGTAATGTACCAATACTCGTTGTATATTGCTAAGCCTGTTCTTTAGTGTTCCCTCAGGTAATTCTGTTGTGCCAAGTAATTTTTTTAATTCAGATTCATATTTATTCCTTAAATTCTGTATCTCAGTTTCCTTGGTCATAACCATAGATTTATTCAATTCTAATTCTGCTTGTAATGCACTTTGCTTGTGTAAAGACGACACTTCGTCATCGACTTTATTTAACTGGCCTTCCAATTTAGCCTTTTTTCTTATTTCATTTTGGATCTTTGATTTGACTGAATCGACATCGAATTTCTTAGCGAGTAATTCAATTTTATCATTTGCTTTCTGAAGCTCCTTCTCGAGGTCATCCAATTTTTTTGCAGCTGCACTGACCTATTAACAAATAATTGAATAAAACAATTGTTAATTATATCTAAGTTTTTAATAGAACGTTTATACTTATATCATTTGCATATTTACATATGATTTTGGTGATATGACAAATATAATACTAACTTGTTTTATTCGAGTACGAAGGGTATTTAATTCCTCTACGATATCAGCTACTTCTACTTCCTTCAGGTTCATTTCTGATTCGATTTTTGTTTTTTCAGACCTCAAAGTATCAACTTCTTTTTGGAGTTGCTTTTCAATAGATTCTCGATTAATCTGGTTGTTTCCCACTTCCAGTTTTATTTCGCACATCTTTTGTTCCAATCGCTTTGATAGAGCTATGACCTCTGTAATTTGAATTATTTTCATTTAAGAAAAGAGTGAGGTTTTAATTTATTACCAATTTCCGTTACGTCGGACGAAATTGTGTCCAAGTTCCAAGCGGAGAGAGCATCGTTCAATAATTTGTTACGTATGACTATTCTTTCATCTTGATCCTTTACTTGTTGTTGTAATGTACCAACTGCAAGTCTCTTCTCGTCAAGTAATTTTCGAATATTTGACTCCTCTGTTTTGATTTCCTTCATTCTCTCTTCAAGCTGTATCACAGTAGAAAGTATATGATATTTAAAATATACAATTTGATATACAAATTATTCATATGAATATGATAATAAAAATATAGAAAATAATAACAGAGTAACATAAATATTAATGATTATAGAATAATAATTCGTTATAGAAAGGTATTAATACTTCTTCTGCCTCTTCTTTTTTCTTGTTTAATATATCAGCATATGAAACTAATTCTTCGTTTAATTCCTCAACTGTTCCTTGAAACATTTCTTCAATGTTGCTCTTCAGATTCACAATTTGTTTTTTCACGTGTGTATGCTGCATCCTTTGAACCTCTATAATACAGGCATCAATATAAAGTCAATGTTCAAAAATTGTCCTTGTAAAAAATACACTAACCTATTTCAGATTTCATCTTTCCATATTGACTATCTAAATCTTTTATTTCCAACATTCTTTGTGTCACAGGCACAAGACTTTTTTCGATTACTGAAATCTTGCTCTTGGAACTCTCCAACCTTTCTTTGGCATTGCTTAGCTCCTGCTCTTTCTCTTCAGTTCTTATCAAATTAATCTCGCATGTTTTTTTCTCAGCCACTAAAAAACGATTCTCAGTTTCCAAGGTTTTGGTATACTTTGTAAGAGATTCAACAGCTTTGTCATATTTTTCAGTGTCAAATATTTCATCAAATCTTTTTTTCAAAATTTTTGCTTCTGACAGTGGCCAATCAAAATCATCTTGATGACAAAATATGACGTAATTCAAAATTGCATTTGAAACACCCATAGCTGAGACAATCTCAGTATTCACATTAGCACATCGATTTGTTATTGAAATTGGCTGTGATTAAGATAAAAAAAATATATAATCTTGAGAATAAATTATCTAGAGGATATTGTAATATTTAACAAGAATTTTCTTACCTTTCCTGAATCGATACTCTCCTTAGTTATAGTACTATCCAAAGTTTTGAATATGACTCGTTTGTCAAATCTAGATAATTCCATAGCTCTGGATATCGTTACTCTGTTTCTACTGACATCTACTACTTCCAACTTGACATTAGCTCTGACCTATAAAATGTGTAAGAAAAAAATATCAGTAAAAGTATTGTTAGCCAAAAACAATTCATTGTATCGAACAACAAACCCACAATACAAGTAGTCGTTGTTACAGGATCATGGACAAATGCCTTTCCAGCGCTAGAATCAGGAGGATAAGCACCAGTAGTAGCAAATTTCAAGGCTTCAATAATTGTTGTCTTTCCTGTACCATTAGGTCCCACAATAAGTGTAATAGGTCGCATAAACCGTATCTCCGTTTCAGTATCATGGTCAAAATTACGAATACCACGAATAGACAACTTCTTTACTCGAGACATTTTTTCTGAAAAAATATATATAAAACAAGATTATAAATAGTATAAAAACATAATATTAACACTGATACAAGAATAGAATCAACTACATTTGTCAATAGATAACTAATACAAAATTGGCAAATTTTAACGGGTACAGAATCTCATTCCTTTGTGTCAGTACCAATTTTCATCATTTACTTCAGCCTGAATAATCTACATATAACATGTAGCCAATATTTAAGCTTCAGACCATATCATACTGCACAAACAAATATACTCACAATCATTACTCTATTTGGTTAATCTCACCAGAATCTCATAAGACCTTATTAATCACAAGTATTTCCCGCTTTCAACTATGGGTTGCTTTTGTCGAGAACATTCGTAACATTCGGCTCTATTCGGAAAGTATAGTTAAAGCTAAAATGCTCGTTCTACAATAGATCAGTTCTTGTTACCTACACCTTCTGCACTTTTCAAAAAGTGCAAATTCTTATTGGATAATATTTTTAAGTAACCAATCAGAATCTGTACTTTTTTTTTAAAAGTGCAGAAATTGTAGGTAACGAGAACAGATCTTATGTCCGCATAAATTGATAAAATTCCCGAATCTTTATTCCCGTTAATTAAATTTAATATTGAAATTTAATAAAAGCTGGGAATTTATCCGCAGATTAAATTTTAACCGAAGGTGAAGAAATTGGTGTTTAGTGATGTTCTATGTACGAAATTCTTAATAAAGAATTACTTTTTGACTTATTGGTTCAATTATTATTTCTATTTTTCAGTAGACAATTGTATTTGAATAATTGCTTAGATACCTGTAGATATTTAAGCGGGAAGCACAGGACCAATAGGTTTAGCCATATCCCGACTGAAAAAGAATACCTATAAATCTTTTGACGTACCCTGGCAGTAACGTAAGGAAGTTGAAATTTCTAATATTGCCTGCCAATAGGAAGAAAGCAGTAACGTTCACTATATTTTCAAATAGGAACAAGAACCGTTTGTTTCGTACAACTCTGCGTGGTGATTCCATTAGAATAAATTGGAGTGGATCTTCAGGGAGAAATACTTTAAACCGCCTTAGTATTTAACTAATTATATTATTCTTAAGAAATAGTTACCTACTTTAAGAAAGGAGAAGAGATGTCTATGGAAAACGTATGTATCAAATTCTTAATAAAGAATTACTTTTTTTTACTTATTGGTTTATTTATTATATCTATTCTTCCGTAGACAATTGTATTTGAATAATTGTTTGGATATATGTAGATACTTAAGGATGGTATAGCTATACTGGCTATAATAGAACCATTTAAAACATTTTATAAGTAACGTCCAATTTAAGTGGAACACTTGAATTTTTGTGTAGTTCTGTGAAACAATGACCGATTTCGAAAAAACCAGAGACAAATTTTTTAGGAATTTAAATTTGAAATGTTTTTATATTTAGTAGTTAGATTTTTAAGATTTTTTAGTACTTACAAAGTTTCAAGCATTTGTTACTATTTTGACCTGTAATCAGTCTAGCGAGAAACACAGGACCAACGAAAAACCATCTGTAAATCACTGTAAATATTTTTACGCTCCCTGGCGGGAACATCGGGAAGTTGAAATTTCCAATGTTGCCCGGCAATGGGAAGAAAGAAGCAACGCTCACCCTGTTTTCAAATATGAAAAGTAACCGTCTGTTCCGTACAGTTCTGTGTGAGTTGATTAGAGTCAATCCTTAGGGAAAAGTACTTAGGACCGCCTTAGTGTTTGTCTAATTGCATCATTTTTGGAGAATAATTGCATGTTATAAGGGAGGAGAAAAGATGTCTATTGAAAAGGTATTAAAATTAAAAATTTATTCCAACATTACGTTTTGTAAGAATGCACAAGTCAATTTTACCTTAATTATTATATTTTTATATTACATTACTTTACATTATATAAAATTAAAGGAACTTTGATAATCTACAAGTGTTCTCTCTGAAGATGTGAAGAATACAATGAGAGAATAATAAAAAATGTCGAATGTAACTAATAAAGTCGTTATAAGTGTATGTACTATGTATTGAGTATAAATCTAACTTATATGAATCAAGTTCCTATTTATGTTTACTGTCATTTTCAGTTACAAGTAAATTGATTTTATTATTTGCAAAATCCCTAATGAGCTTACTAATTTATCTGTTTGCTCCGCTGGATTAGACATGTCAAAAAATAAATCTTTGTATTTTATATAAAAGGGGTACTTAATTCATTCTAGTACCTTTTATATAGAATGCATTAGATATTTGTTGCAATTAATAATAGATATAATTAATCAATGTTCTTATTTATGCAGATGGAGGATACGTTGGATTCAATCCGACCATCAGAAATTCCGACAGAGCAAGAAGAGATATCATATTTATTTAGCAGAGATCCTAGTATTTTAGCATATGGTCAGAGGAGACCATTAATTTCTGATGGATTAAAGAAAAATCTAATATCACACTATGACGATGAGCAAACAGATTTAAGGGATGATACCACTTCATCCTTATCATCATTATCTCAAACTGTAAAAGTTTATCTGCGCGTCAAACCATATCCAAAAAGGATAGAATTAACAGAGGAACAAAAAGAAGCATACACAATTCTTAATACAACAACACTATTAACAAAGCTACCTTACATAGATACGAATGCTAGCTGTCTTAAAAGGGCAAAACAGAGTGAAACGGTGTGCCGAAAATTCACATTCACGAAAACATTTTCATCTACAATATCCCAATTGGAACTCTTTGAAAATGCCATTAAACAGCAAATGGTTGACTTTTTGGCTGGTCAAAATTCAACAGTCATGTCTTATGGAACAACTAATTCTGGAAAATCATATACATTGCAGGGAACTACAGTGTCACCTGGAATAATTCCACGTGGCTTAGATTTTGTATTTTCTAACATTGATCCAAAATCTGTACCATGCTATAAGCCGGTACATTATTGTGATGTTATCTCTTTAAATTCGAGTGAGCGCCTTCAAGAGCTTGAATCTAAAACTAAAATTTTATGTCTATCACCAATTGACAGAAATCAATGTATGAATGCATATAAGGAAATGCAGAAATTACTTGAAGAGGAACATCCAAAACGAGAAAGTGTCTCTGTCGATGCTCAATACTCAGTATGGGTGTCATTTGCTGAAATCTATAACGAAACAATCTATGATCTTTTATCAGTTGAACCTCAAAAAAGAAGATTACCATTAAAGCTCGCCACTGATAATCGTGGTAGAGCATTCATTAAAGGTTTAAAAACAATTTGTGTTAATTCTGGCGCTGAAGCATATCAAATTTTAATGGCAGGTCAGCACAACCTAAAAGTTGCCACTACGGCATTGAATTCAAGAAGTTCACGATCTCATTGTATATTCACAATCAAGCTTTTAAAGTACTATGCAGAAAATGCTTCTGATAAGGTTGAGATAAGCACGTAAGTGATGACACAACAGTTCATAAATCAAAATTGAATACACCCAGATAAATTTCACATATCGACTTTTTATAATTTAGATTATCATTTTGCGACTTGGCGGGATCTGAAAGGTTAAAAAAGACTCTGAATGTAGGTGACCGTTTAAAAGAAGCCCAGAACATTAACACAAGTCTGCTAGTCCTTGGTAGATGTCTCAAGTCAATCTATGAAGGACAAACTCTAAAGCAAAAGCAAGATATTATTGGGCCCTTTCGTGAATCCAAGTTGACGAGACTCTTTCAGAAAACTTTATCTGGCAAAGAACATCTAATTCTGATAGTAAACATCAACCCTTCACCAGATTTATATATCGAAACCCAAAATGTCCTAAACTTTTCTGCCATCGCTAAAAAGATAATTATTGAACCAAAGGAGGTAAAGCGGAAAGCAGCAACGTCAAGATTTTCACAAATTGTAACGCAAAGCATCAAGACTTGTACAGATTGGGATACGGCAGATTTAAATAGTATAAGTAAGTGAGGAGTACTTGTTTATTTCAGGCTAAGTTATGTATTTTGTACTATCAATATAATTACTTTTGTTTAACCAGGTGAAGAGCAGGAGTCAATTGCAGCATCACATAAATCCTACGAAAACATTTATCTTGAGGACTATGAAGACGCCTTAAATGAGAATGAGAAATTAAGAAGAGAAATAGAGCTTTTACGCTCGTCAGCTTTCAATAGGGACTTGGAAATTCGACAGGAAATGGCTGAAACTTTTAGTTCTATAATGTCTCAAATGGAAGTGGAATGGAGGTACTTAAAGTATTCCAGATTTCTATGTTATCCGTTCAATATGTTCTGTAGATTATTATAAATACTATAGGGCAGTGAAAGCCCATCTGCATACAAAAATTCACTAGTACTGTATCAATTCATTTGCAGGGACCGTATTAAAAGCGTAGAGGAGCAACAGGACTCCTTACTCCAATGGTCTGTAGCAAGAACCGAAGATTTTTACAAAAATAAACTCGTCCAGTTGGGGAAAAGAAAAAGGACGTATTCCAGTACAAATGATGAGAGCGATAACGACGACAGTGAGGAATTAGAGTTAGAAAATATCCGCTTGAAAGCAACAGTCGCAGCTTTGAAAAAAGCAGTAAAGGAAATACGAGACTCGAAGGATACACTATCCGCCGATAAAAGTAAAGCTACATTCGAATTGGCTATAGTGAAAGAAGAATTAAAGAATCTCAAAAACCTTCTAGAAGCAGCGCAAAAGGATTGTAACGGCGAAGCGCGTAATTATATAGCAGAACTAAAGGTTCTATTAGCAAAAAAGGATGAACAGATTAAGAATCTGAAGATGTTCCTTGATGAAGCCAAGGAGGAATATATTACCATAACAACCGACGCAAGGGAGATGCAAAATCGTTTGAAATTGCAGAACAAAACTATTGTTGAAAATATGGACCAAATTGCTGAATTGGAAGAGCAATTGGAATATGCAAATATTCATCTACCACAGAAAACCAAAGCTGTGGAAGTTCTGGAGGAAAAAATTGAATTTCAAACAAAGAACTTGATCAAATTTGAAAATATTCTTGCAGATATGCAGAATAAAATTAGTCAGTTGGAAACTGATAAAAGTGCTCTGATTGAAGAATTGGCTAAGCTACAAGAGATCAGAATTGATTACGATAAGAAATCCACTCTTACATCTTTCCAAGACGTTGAAGTTAAAACCGAGTCGCAAGAAGAAAAGATTGAAGACCATTTGAAGACCGAAGAACGTCTTCAACAAGAAATAATGGTATGTCCATGGGTAATGTTTCAATGGAATACTGAACAATATTCTTTCAATAATTAAACTATGATTTATTTATTTATTTTTATTCTTTAAGAGCAAGCAAGAAGAGTCGCATCAGAATTTGGAAACACAGGAATCTATAAGCGAAATGAAACAAATGTTATGCGACAATGAAAAGCAAATCAAAGATTACGAAAGTAACATTAAATCATTAAAAGAAGAATTGGTTTCCATTACGATGGAGAAAGAGAATATTCAATCTGAATTGAATCAGGTTCAAAATAGTAAAGAATCGTTAGAGTTAAAAGTGATCAAGAGTGAAAAAAATATCTCTGAATTAGAAAAGGCAATAAAAGAGAATGCGGATAGAGAAATTCAAATTATACGGGTATGTTTTGAGAATTTTTATTAGCATAAACGTTATTAGCATTAACCAATTTTCTCCGTTCACAGGATCTAGCAACGGTCCGTGATAAATTGAGTAGCGCTTTATCAAAGGTAATTGCCATTATTATTTTTATAATTGCAACTGGCTTTTCACATTATTAAGTCACTTTTGGCGTTCTACAGGAGATGAATTATGAGGAGGTAATACAGAAATTGGAAAAAGAACTAACTGCGGTAAACGAAAGATATGAAATTAAAGCCAAGGTAATGATTTCTTTTATTATAATAGAATATTATTTTACCTGAAATGTAATGAAATTTTTAAATAAGTCAACAGTCAACTCTTCCTAATTTTGCATCCTTTGGGCTCTGGGAGTGCGGAGCTTACAGAGCTTTTCTCTTCCTTTCACACTAGCTATCCTTGCTCAGGGAATGAGGAATGGGGAAATTACATTTTCCGCCTAGCGTAATTTCTAAAGAAAGAATTGTCGTAGGGCTGCAAATCAAAGAAGCGAAAAATTAGGGAGAGTCCACTGCACTATTTTTTAATGATAATACACATTGAACGACAGTGCCTAAAGGCGTATGTAGAACTAATAACGAAATTGGAATGATATAATAAAAGCGAAAAAATTACAGGAGACGACAACCAAAGAGCAAGAAATGGAGAATGAAATTGCGAATCTACAAAAGGGTGAATATTTGCTATGGTTTGCCAATACGTTTGCATCTAAAAATTTTAAATATCTGTGCTTCATTTATATGATTTTAGAGCTTAAAAATATGATTCAGCTGAATGCCGATTCCAAGACAGACCAAGAAATGGAAGCATCAATGAAGAATGTATTAAAGCAATTAACTGAAACGAAAGAAGCTCTGGCCAAAATGGAATCATTATACAAAGATACTGAAACAGAAAAGGAATTGTGTCATCGTAAAATCGAAAGCATGACACTTCGCCTACAACAATACGAACAAAATGTGAAGATTTTAGATTTATTGCAACAAAATTGTCAAGAGCGGCAGATTGAAAATGAGCAGTTAAAAAAGATGAATGACGAATTAAAAAATAGTCTTGCTGAGCAAGATCGTGAAATGGAAGCTTTTAGAAAGAATAGAGAAGAAATGGCTGCGAAGTATGACAATCTGATAAAATCGCAACAAGAAGAAATCGAAAAACAGAAAAAAGAGGTCCGAAAAAAAACAAGTATATTAATTGGTAACGATACTGCAATTAGTAACAGTATATTAACTTGTTTATCTGTACTTTAATTAACAGGTAATGAAATATCGACCGTCGGTTGAGGTGACATCAGAAAAAAAGCGGACAGCACGTAAAAAGAAATTATTTGTTCAATCGGATGATACAGCTGCTGATATTGATCCATGTGAGGTAGATACAACTTGTTATTACTAAAATATAATAATTAGCGCATTATATAAGGTATAAAATCATCAATTGTTTATTAACATTGCAGACTATTCCACCGTCGCCAGTACCTTCAACCTCAACGCGTAGCTTGAGGACACGGAGAAAATGAATTTTTTCATTTATATAAATGAAATGTTAATAAATAGCAATATCCGTATTTTTTTAGATTGTTTTTTTATATTTATACTGAACAGTATTGTTACTTAAAGACTGAATAAAGAATAATTTATTAATCGGTAGTTGAATTAATCCTCTTCACTTACGCAAGCGTTATTTTTTTGCAAATCGTATTTAAATGTTTCTGTGACAATTCGTAGACATCCCAACGTACGTACGTATAAAAAAATTTGTATTAAGTAGATACATTTTTATCTTACCTCTTGAATCGTAGTACAAAAAGAATGTTTCGACTTAATTCTATGAATCAAAGATTTATCAATTTTCTTTTATTGCTTTTAATTTTATTTTGCAATACTAAGGAGGTACTAAGTCATTCTGATGTTCTCTTCATAAATATAGATTTTTTACTCCACAGTTTGCATTCAATGTTTGGAGCACTTATTTGTTATAGAATATTTCTTTTCCAAATAATCAATACGGTTATAAGGTACCTACAATATTTTAATGATCTCGATAAACAAATTATTTCTTGTTGTTCAAGTCTTGAAAAACATATTTATAGATTTTGACAATCTAGTTTGTCAAAATCTATAAATATGTTTTTCAACTAGATAATCTTTCAAAGTTGTGTTATGTTTTTGTACTTTCGGATAAAAATTATCCTGCGGATAAACTCTTAAAACATGAAAATGGTTAACTGGGAATTTATCCACAAGATAAATTTTATCCAAAGGTGAAAAAATTGGCTATAAGACCGCGCAAAATCAAAGGAGTAGAGAATATCGCAATTGACCAATCCCAACTTGATAGAGTGACGTCTGGAAACATTCAGACTGGTCGAACGTATTGTTCCTCTATTTAGTTCTTCTGTTTAACCGAATTCACTGTTGAATATACGACAGTGTAACAAGATACTATTTAATATATGTAATATGTATAAGGAAACATATATTTCACGTACGTGTCAAAAAATAACTTTACTACAGATAATATTGTGCATTAATTGGCCAATGACAGAAGAGGATCCTGAAAGTATTCCCCATGTTTCAGTTTTTTCAGCTACTTTCAACTCGACTCTTAACTGGCGAGAAGTACGTACGCAATGATTTTCATTGATATTATTAAAACATGGTTTTTTAATTAAATTTTACTTGAGCAGTTTGCAGAATGTTTTTGTGACAATTGAATTTATTTTTTCTAGTATTATTTAAGCGTGGATTGCCATACGTAATTAATTTTTTTTAATTGCAGGGTGATATACTGGATTCGAAACCTCATTGACAGTTGTTAGGATTATTTAATAGTAAAGAGCGTGAAAGTTATTTGAAGATATCTATTTGTTGAAATTAAATACCTCTGTGATTTATATTTTGGTTGGTAAAACTCTTGTACTCGACGAACTTTGACGTATATTAGAATGAGTACTCCAGGTGGGCCAAAGGTATGCATATTGATGTTTAACTTTGTTTAAAGTTAGGAAATTTCTGATTAAAGTTTCCATATGTATATTATTAATTGGACTTCGAAAAACTTTATAGTTGTAGGATTTACCAGTTTGAGAATATGAGAAACATATATAATTAGTAATATCTTTTAGCCACCTGCTGCACCATCCGTTCAAGAATATAGCATTCGTGTGCCTAAGTATGTATATATTTGTTACTTAAAATTGTGCTCCTTATATGTGCTATCAATACAATTATATTAAATTGTTGTTTATCCATAGAAATAATAAGAAGAAACATAATGTCATGCGATTCAATGCTACGCTTAATGTTGATTTTTCAAAATGGACACAAGTAAAAATGGAACGAGAAAATAATATGAAGGAATATAAAGGATTAGATGAAGAGATGCCCAAGTTTGGAGCAGGATCTGAGTTTGGGCGAGATGCGAGAGAAGAGGCAAGACGAAAGAAGTTTGGGATCACCAGTAGAAAATATAAGCCAGAGGATCAGCCATGGATTTTAAAGTCTGGTGGAAAAACAGGAAAGAAATTTAAGGGCATTAGAGAGGGTGGTGTTGCTGAGAATGCTGCATACTATGTATTTACACATGCACCAGATGGGGCAATAGAAGCGTTTCCGTTGCATGAATGGTGAGTATATAAAATACAAAGTGAAGTGCTGATACATGAAAAAATTAAAACATCATTATATGCAGGTACAACTTCCAACCTATACAAAGATACAAAGCACTTAGTGCAGAGGAAGCAGAACAAGAATTTAGTCGTAGAAATAAAGTCATGAATTACTTCTCATTGATGTTAAGAAAGAGACTACGCAATGATGAAGAGGGTGCGGATGATGAATCTGAGCTGGCTGAGGGAACTAAAGGAAAGAAACCAACTAAAAAGGAAAAAGAATTAAAGATATCAGAAATGGATGAATGGATGGACAGTGACGATGACGATTCAAACAGTGAAGATGAGAAAGAAAAGAAAGCATCCGATGAAGAAGAGGATGCAAAGAAAACGAAAAAGGGTAAAGGTATGCAAAGCGTTTATATCTATAATACTATCAACTATATCAGGAAAATATTAACTGTTATATTATTACCACTGTGCAATATGATAGAAGAATATTATTAACAGCGACAGCTTTGAAGAAAAAGAAAAGAAAAAATGCATCCGACGATGAAGCCTTTGAAGAAAGTGATGACGGAGATGAGGAAGGTCGAGAATGTGATTACATATCGGATTCCTCTGATTCAGAGTCTGAATTAGAAAAACAAAAAGAAATAAAATCCGTCGCTGAAGAAGATGCACTTAGAAAATTACTTGCTTCGGATGAGGATGATGAGGACGAAGAAGAGGAGAAGAAAGATGGTGAAGAGGACAAGGATGAGGATGAAGAAAACAAAGAAAAGGATGAGAAGGTAAGCTTAATAAACTACAATGCAGTACTTTCTTCACCTTGGAAAATAACTTCAAAGCTTAACTCATATCTTTTCAGGAAAAAGACAAAGCTAATAAGGATACAGATAAGAAGAAGGACAAAAAGAAAAAGAAGAAACAGTCCAAGAAGAAGGATTCTAAGAAATCTAGTCCTGGAAAGGATTCCTCCAGTGACTTTTCCAGCGATTCTGATTCTGATTCTGATGTACCTAAGGAAAAGGATAACAAAAAACCAAATAGCGCACAAAGTTCCAGATCCGGCACTCCGATACCTGCTGCAGGTTCATCAGCTGATCTTCTGAAAAGAAAGCAATCAGGTTCACCAGATCTGTCACAAGCAAAGAAATTGAAGTTAGACAATTTCAACTTAGTACCAGCAACTTCTTACATACCTGGAAGCAGGTAAATTAAATAATTACTCGTGACGTTAAATGTCAATTATCCGGTCTGAATTACTATAGAAAATCACCATATACATTTAAATTACAGTGAGTCCGGGATAACGGAAGATGCTGTGAGACGATACTTAATGCGCAAACCAATGACCACCACCGAGCTTTTACAAAAATTCAAATCCAAAAAAACAGGCCTCACCTCAGAACAGCTAGTTAACATTATGACCCAAATATTGAAGAAGATTAATCCTACAAAACAAACAATCAAGAACAAAATGTATTTATCCATCAAAGCCCAACCAAATTAACAAAACATGATTGACATACTTTGCATACTGATTATTTCATTGTTTCCCTTCGAACAAAAAAACAATAATATAATGTACGAAACCTTATGAAACAATGCAATGTGATATTAGTGTCTTCAACGTAATAAATTTTCAATTATATAACAATATTAATAACTAGTAGTAAATAATGTTTTCATTTATTATAAACACTCACTAGTTTGCATAAAAAAACTGAAGAACAAAGCATAGAGCGCAAGAGCCGCTCGATATAAATTTGGTTATAATCTAAAAATCATTCTTGCATAATAATAATAAACTTAACCCTTTCGCTACGGACGCCGACTATAGTCGGCGGCCACGCGAAGTGCTGTGTACGGACGCCGACTATAGTCGGCGGCCGCGAGACCACCTACCCTGACTTCGTTGGTAGCACAAAATCTACTACTTTGTTAATATGTAAATTTCTGAATACCCACAATATACTCATTTTTATGTTTTTCTATATAATATTATGAAACAGTTACATAACTCTTAAAAAAGTATACATACAAGACAATTCCAAAGTGCCATTGAAAGACGTAAGCGCAGTGCCCCGTTCAGTGGCGCTACTCCCGCGGAACGGACTGCCGTAGCGAGAGGGTTAATCAACGCGAAAAGGCATTTATTTTTTGCAAATAACCCCAGCCTGTTCGTCGCTTAATTACAAAAACAAAATAATTTTTCTTTTGCAAATTGTCATAGCTCGCTATATACATATATATTTTATATCTATCAATAAAGCAGAAGAGATCAAGCATATAAATACAACCATACCCTGAACTATTAACCATGATTAGGCTTATCATCAATTTTGTAATATTTTTCAACCCCTGACCTATAGAATTTACATTATCGCAATCGCCGTATATTCAGATAAACAGAACCAAAGCCTTTAAATGGCAGTCATACGATTATTGTAACCAATAAGTCACGGATTCAGATTCGGTCCATGAATACTCGTGATCATCTAAACTAATGTATATATGTGAGTAATTAAAATCAACATATTGAAATTAAATGTTGTAATCTATTGTAAAATACAAAGTATCTATTGCGAAAATAACAACAAAATAGACCTGTAGCGTTAAAAAGAAAGTGAAATGTGGATTTTGAAATACAACGTGTTAAAAAATTATGTTAAAAAAAATGTTTCGGCCGTGCCGTCAATTATATTTCAATGCACGCGACCTCTTAGTGTAAGTATCTGTACGCAATCTATAATGATAAATATCCATAAATTTGTAATGATATGCACTCTTTTTTTTTGTAATAATTAAAAAACACGATAAGCGCTATAATTGTCTTTCAAAGATGTTCAGAAGAGCTGAATAAGCTTAAACGTCATTGAAACGTTTAGTAAATCAATCTCCAAAGATAATAAGTTTTTAATACAGTCAATTAAAACGATAATTTGAGTACATAGACTTTGACATTAAGAGACGTTGAATTGATATTCTTTGTTCTTTTTTTAAATAGAGTTTAAAAGGCAAAGTAATAGCCATCAGAAGGGAAGATCAATCAGTATGGGAAAGACGTGCGCCACTGGCACCGTCAAATGTTCGCCGATTAATTCGTGCTGGCGTTAAAGTTATTGTGCAACCCAGCAATAGAAGAGCATATCCGGCCAAGGCTTACCTTTCCGCTGGTGCATCTTTACAAGAAGACATCAGTACAGCTTCTGTAATTTTTGGCGTCAAGCAGGTTCCGGTTGATCAGCTGATACCGAACAAAACATATTGTTTCTTTTCGCACACGATCAAAGCCCAGGAAAGCAATATGCCTTTGCTGGATGCAATATTGGAGAAGAACATTAGGCTGCTGGATTTTGAAAAATTAACCGATGCTCAGGGTCAGCGTGTGGTAGCTTTTGGAAAATATGCTGGCGTCGCTGGTATGGTCAATATTCTTCATGGTCTAGGACTGAGATTGCTTGCTTTGGGACACCATACGCCATTTATGGTAATGTATCACATGAATGATGTGTAAGACGTCGTGGCACGACCCAAATTTGAATAATAGTTAGATTTTGGGTAAACAAATAAAAAATAAGAAAAACATAATATTTTTCATTATAAGCATACAAAAATCCAACGTTTTTAATATTATTATTTTTATGTCCCAGCACATTGGTCCAGCGCATAATTACAGGGACTCGGCAATGGCACGGCAAGCCATAAGAGATGCTGGATACGAAATAGCTTTGGGAGCAATGCCAAAATCTATTGGACCACTTACGTTCGTTTTCACCGGAAGTGGAAATGTCAGTCAAGGTGGTCAGGAAGTCTTCCAGGAGCTTCCTCATGAGTACGTCGCCCGCGAATCCCTGAGGAAGGTCGCGGAACACGGTGGTAATGAACTCCAGGACAATTCGTAAATTTGAGTTCTGAAAGAATCCGTATTCCTAAAAAAATGTATACAAGGCTGCCTATCATTTTTGTTTATAAGACACGACCAAGATTTACGGCTGCGAGATCAGACGGAGACATCACCTAGAGAGGAAGGAGGGCGGCGGTTTTGATTCTGAGGAATATGACAAATATCCGGAAAGATACATATCAATTTTCAGTAAAAAAATAGCACCGTATGCATCTGTTATCATCAACGGGATATACTGGGCTGTAGATTCCCCTAAATTGCTTACTATACCCGATGCTAAAAATTTACTGAGACCGGCCTATACCCCATGGTTGCCGATAAGCGTTGGTGCCCCAGCGTTGCCACATAGAATGTTGGCAATTTGTGACATTTCGGCCGACCCAGGTGGCAGCATTGAGTAAGGATCTAAAAATGCTATATTCGTTGCAGCAATATAGTAATTATTTTATAAATTTCATCGTTCTAGGTTCATGAATGAATGCACGACCATCGACACGCCGTTTTGTCTTTACGATGCTGATCGCAACAAGGATACGAAATCCTTCAAAGGACCTGGTGTTCTTGTCTGTTCGATAGACAACATGCCCACACAACTCCCAAGAGAAGCAACGGATTTCTTTGGTGACTTATTGTATCCTTATGCACTTGACATCATCAGATCGGATGCTAAGAAGCCATTGGATGATCATGGATTTACTCCAGCTGTCTACGGCGCCATTATTGCTTCCAACGGAGAATTGACACCCAATTTTGAATATATCAAGGAATTGAGGCAACTCAATCAGCGCAGTAGACACAAGGCTGACGATTCGGAATCTCCTAGCAAAAAGGTGAAACAACATCAGATTCTTGTTTAATGTTGATCAATGATCATGTTACTTCAAGATGTCTATTCAACTGCCGATGTGGTTCCCATGTGATTTTAGGTTGTGGTCCTAGGTGCTGGATACGTTTCTGCACCTTTGGTAGAGTATTTACACAGAGACAACAAAATTAGGATCATCGTTTGTTCACAACTAAAGGATGAAGCTGATGCACTTGCCAATAGATATCCAGGAGTTGAATCTGTATTTCTTAACGTTCTCGACCGGCCTGATACACTCCATGAGGTTGTTAGCTCTGCGGATGTTGTTGTATCTTTATTGCCGTATTCACTTCATCATCTTGTAGCAAAAACATGTATCCAGACGAAAACTCATTTAGTTACAGCCAGCTATATGAATGACGACGTTAAAGCGCTTCATGAAGAGTATGATTGATTTTGATGATTTGTAATAGTTATTTTCGTACCATGGGCGTAAAGTACAACTTTACGCCCGCGGGTGATTGTACCCGCCATAGGCCGGCGTAGCCGGCTCGAGGGTTGCGCGGCGATCGCCCAAGGGTGTACAGTTTTATGCCCGCGGTGCGAACATTATTTTATTCACGACTGAGCTATAATAGCCACTTTATCCCTAAAAAGCAGGACTAAAGTAGCATTTTATTCCCGCATATTTGGTTTTCCCGCAAATTTACTTTATTCCCGCAAAATTTTGAATTTTTTTTTAATTTTGAAAATTTTTGAAAAGGTGAAAAATTTTAAAATTTTGAATTTTTTGAAAATTTGAAAAAACTTATATTTCCATCATAATGACGGTGGCTGATTTGGTTCCACTTTTCAGGGAATAAAGTGGCTATTATAGCTCAGTCGTGAATAAAGCACTATATGTAACACGAGAGTAAAGTCGGTTATTCCCTCGGGTGATTTACTGCCCTCGCTTCGCTCGGACAGTACACTCTCACCCGCGGGAATAATCAACGACTTTACTCCCTTGTTGCATAATGTACTATTTCGGTATAGTGTGCGTAAAGTACGCGTTTTTGGCCTTGCGAGCGTATCAAGATCAAAAACGCATACTTCACGCACACTATACCGAAAAATATTTTTAAGTAGTATTAGTTGGATTTGATAAACTTTTAATTGACAAATTTTTTCATTCAGGGCAGAAGCAGCAGGTGTTACAATACTGAATGAAGTTGGACTGGATCCTGGTATAGATCATTTATTAGCTCTGGAATGTTTTGATGATATTCGTCAAGCAGGAGGGAAAATCGAATCATTTATTTCATGGTGCGGTGGTCTTCCTGCTCCAGAATGTTCATACAATCCTCTCAGGTACAAATTCAGTTGGTCACCCCGAGGAGCATTGTTGAACACTCTGGCACCAGCAAAGTATTTGAACGAAGGTCAAGTAAGTAAGACGGTTATAAAAATTGGTATTAAAAATAACTGTAAAATAAAACAGTTAGCCAAAGAAAGTTTTGCCAGCAACTCATTCGGTAATTGAAATCATAATAATATTACTTTTTAGATCGTTGAAATATCTGGAGGCGGTGATCTTATGTCCACTGTACAAAATTTGGACTTTCTACCTGGCTTTGCATTGGAAGGATTTCCAAATCGCGACAGTACAGTCTACAAGGAACTATACGGAATTCAAAATGCATCAACAGTATTACGTGGTACGTTAAGATTTCGCGGATTTACTGATACAATTCAAGGGATGCAATTTCTGGGATTAATTGATCCAAATCCTCATCCAATTTTGCATCCCAATGGACCAGACATCACATGGGTAGGTCTCTGATAGAATCATCAAATTTTTATATCGTACATCGTCCTCATACACAACAATTTCACCATGTATAGAGGTCATTGATATGCAACATGTTGGGTTTGGAAAACGACAACATATTCTATGAGAATCTTAAGTGGAAATTGGCAGAACGTGTCAATTCCGAAGTACGTGTTCAGGCCATTGAAGATTTAGGACTTTTGAACGACGATCCAGTTGTCAAGATGAACACGCCTTTGGATACTCTGACTTATTACCTTTCAAAGAAATTATGCTTTGAAAAGAACGAAAGGGACTTGATTATTTTGAGACATGACATTGGTATTCTTTGGCCTGACAATAGAAGAGAAGATAGAGGAATTAATTTGGTTGTTTATGGAGATCCAAAAGGACACTCTGCAATGGCTCGTGCCGTTGGATATCCTGCAGCCATTGCCGTTAAGATGGTTTTGGATGGTGAGCCATTTAACTAACTGTCTTTTAAATATAAACTGTTCATCTTTTTCACTGTTCTTTCCTTTTTGATCACAGGGGAAATACAACAGAGAGGCATGGTTCTGCCATTCACGCAAAATATTTATAGGCCAATACTCAATCGATTACGAGCAGAAGGATTGGAATCATTTGAATCGTCTCGATGGAATTGATTATATATAAATTAACACTGGGTTTATAGAAATTTATTATATACCTATCTTATGGACACACGTCAAATTGACTCGTGAACGAAACTACAACTTGTTTTATTCAAAAACAGCATAGTTGTACACTGTTAATTTAGAATGTTTAACATTATGTAACATTACATTTATTAAATGTCGGCATAAGTGGCAGGAGAGAAATGTAAATGGTTTATGTAATTTTTCTTGTGAAATTCAAAATGCGTCCAAATACCCGTCTTATAAACCCAGTGTTAAAAAGAACTAAATTTTATATTACGTATGCTGATCAATTACGTATACTGTGTCAGAAACAAAGGATATGGCATTCCAACCCCATCAAAAATTTCTGTATTGGTTCCAGCAAATCCCCTATGTCCACTAGTCTTCAGACAAAGTCCCATAAGACTAGACTCTTTACTTATTGTTAGTATCTCATTGGTACTGTTGCTGATGTAGATAATATGTATTTAAATCTTTGACTACCCCCTCCATGTCTATTATGACTACAGCAACCACACAGTGGGCAGCAGTGGCAGTGAAAGTGCAAATTATTGGATGAAATATTATTTTCAATTTGAATAGAAGTTTATTCTATTCAACATACTGTATGTCAGACTGTGTAACAGAGAACAAAAAATGACCCTATCTCAAAATAGAAATAGGTAAAAGCTGAAGCTGCTGCTTGGATATCAGATAAAAAAATATTTTTCACAATGAAATCAAATTGAAGTTGCATGATAATTAATACAAATCATAAGAATCGTATTTATAAATCCTTGTTTACTAATGTCTCGTTTGTCTGCTCTTTGGCTACTGTCTCTTTTGTTACTTGTGCTATGTCTAAATCGGGATGAAGAACTAGATATAAATGGTGAAGATCCGGAAATGGAAAAGAATCCAGTCCCAATATACTCAATTGTGAGGCTATTCTAATTTTAAGGGAAATATGAATAGATTTTTTTAGAAAAAAAGATGACCCTGATAATGTCGATAACCACCACCAAATAGTACAATATACATATAAGATGGTCTTACCTTGTTTTGTAGATGAAGATGGAAGTATCTGATGTCCGATTGAATTCACTTCAAGAAACTTGCACTTACACTTTATTAGATAAAAGTTTGAATACACTGTGATGTGACTGTGACTGACGCCCAGAAGCGAATGACGAGTAAATTGAACGAGGCAAAACACTATCGGAAACAAAAAGCTTTGTTTGACCATTTTTTTTCAAGGACTAACTGTCCTATAAATATTTTTTGTTTGCCGGGTTTTGCTAGTGCCTAAACAATGACTGACTTGGGACTTCAGGATTGGTCAAGAATAACGTCTCTGGCAATGACGTAGAAGCTCGGTGGAGTTTTTACGAAAAAGCAATAAACTCCAAGTGATCTGAAACTATTACTAACCTGGTTTTCGATTATCTTCGGAAGATTCATCTCGTTGTACCCTAAATCAGGAAACCGCATGCAAGATAACCTCTTCAAATTCTGTCCAAATGACGGAAACCAGATTCCAGTACATATGAGATTCGTATTTAATTACATGCCGCGAATGAATTTTTTGACTTTTCATACCGACGCAACACTTGAGCCAGGATACGAAAAATATAATATTTCATGCATAAATTGAAAAGAAAAACCAGAGGATCAGAATTTGGGAAATTTTCATTAGATGTAATTAACATTTATTGATTTTTCTCATTCTTCCGGAAAACTTCCAACAATACAATGGTATTTGAGCTATCGCAAATTTGCATTCTTATTTATTTATTTATTCATTTTTTTGATAGTACGAAATCATCCGCATTCAAACGCCACACTGTACGATATGAGTTAAACGGTAACCATAAATGGTTATCATATTATTGTTATCATAATTCCACCATGACTATAATACATATAAGTCATCAATTGGCCATTTAGCTGATTGGAGCAGCGATTCGTTAGGCGATGATTGACACATGATGATAATTATTGTATTATTGGTACATAATTAATAATGATAATTAAAATAATTTATCTTCCACACATTCATTATCATAATATTATATCCATGAGTTATCATACTTATCTCTTCCTTAAAATGAAATTTAAATTTGCTAACATCAATTAAAAACAATGATGTACAATTCAACTATTTTTTTTTTAATGCAGAACATTGAAAGTCATCACAATAATAAAACTTATGGTAAGTTACAATTTTCACATTCTTTGAATGTCCATTTTTGAAAATTCGTATTCCTTAATTAATACAAAGTTGCTGTCAATTATTTTTCATTTTTTTTAAAACACTAATCACACTGATTGTCGCATTACCAAATCATCGAATCACTGATCCAGCCAGTGGTGAAATATTTAAAGTAATGATACAACCCTCATCCATACCATACATACTTATCACGTTCTACGCGATAGCCGTAACCCTTGACCCCTACTCAACTAGGAACTTACTAAAAGGAAATAGTATACACCAAAGTCACTGCGTCAGTTGTAGCATTGCTTGATGACGACGCTGGGGGGATTGTTGTTAATTATTATTATTAATATTATTATCATATCGTCTCTATGCACTTCTAGGAATCATCTAGGATGATCAGGAATAACATTATTTAATTTTCGTGCACTTTGACCCGCGGACGTCGAGTGTCACGAAAAATGAAAAAAAAAAAACCAATTCCTGCTTTTCTACAGCGAGATAAAAAATTGTCATGGCTTATGCAACGATAACAAAAAAAAATGTTCTAATATACGCGTAACAATAATTGTAGAACAAAGTTGTTTCTGAGGTTGTTGCAGGAAACAAAAAATTGTTCAAGGCTGCTGTCGTTACGATCATATATAAGGTGTCAATTTATAATGGTATATCGATCGTCCGATTTAATTCTTTTTATGATACATGATATTTACACACGAAGTTGGCAGTATTTGACAACAACAACGCGATCCTCGTTAATTCGCTAAACTAAATAACTATTTATATCTAATCGTATATATTATTTCCCGGCTTAGGATTATAATCTTTTACAGCCACCCGCCCGTAAACCCTTGTTCATTAATTTTCTAACCTAACGAATTGACTAAATTTCAATTTGGGCTAGACCCCCACCGCTACGGCATCACCCTTATAATCGTGATCGTAATTAATAGTTAATTAATAATTATTAATAACGTAACCGAGCTGTAACAAAGATCTGCGCGTCGCTACTTTTTTTTTTAATGATACCTTCTCTTTATTAATTTAACGCTAAATCCATGCAGAAAAAGAGTCTAGTTGAAAATAAAAATAAAGTACAAATCATGCAAAGGTGGTTTTAAATTTGAAAAAAAAATCTTGTTGGTTCGATAAATTATGTCACTCGCTATTAATACCAATTTATACATTTTTTTTGTAACTTTCAAATATTCTTCGAATCAGAATTACATTGTGCTGTTGTTATTGTTGCTGTTGTTTGTATCTTTAATAATTAGATAAATCGTCGAGCTCACATGACGCGGTGTTGCCGGTTGTTTTTGGATTCTAATATACAATGCTGTTATCGTGTCGTAGTCTGAATTCTATAGCTTGACCAAGATGAAACGTGAAGCGTGCGTTAAATAATTAATAACAAGTTTTTGTTTACCCTGCAGATTCACCATCAATAAATATTTGCATAGGCAGAAAAGTTTGTATGTTTACACTTATATATGTAATTTATGCACGAGAAATCCGTGACGATAGGGTTTGCGAAAACTTTGTTTGGTAATAATAATAATACTTCTTAACAATTTCTCCCGTCTGTATTTTCCCGCATAAAAAATACAAAAAAAATGCGTTAATTTTATAATTAAAATTTTGACTGTTATATATATATATATATATATATATATATATATATGTATAGGTGTGTGTATAATGACCGTTGTATATGTATATGCAAAAAGCGTTCGTTCATAAAAACTTTCATAGCAGAGATAAAATTGGACGAACTTGATAAAAATTTGTTAACTAGCTTCCTGATAGTCAAGTGGTTAATTTTTTGAGTGTATGAAAAAAATCAAAGTCTCAAAATTGTTCAAAGTTCCGTGTATTCCGATGTACGATAGATCGAGGCAAAATTTTTGATGAACGTAATATAAAAATTTTGAGTTCAATATAATTTAGGCTATCAGTATCTCGAATACTCGAATAGTTTTTCATTAGTATCCGTGATAGTAAACAGGTAAAAGTTTTTGTATTATGATAAATATAAAAATTTAACAAATAGTTTAGTTGCTTATACTTAAGTTCAATAAGTTTCGCAGGTATATTAATTCCGGATTGTTAATTTGCATAAAATTTGAAAAAAAAATATAATTTATATATTTAATCGATCTGTATCAAGCATAGTATTTAACATAAGGATTGTGAGTGTGCGTATAGAATGTTTGTAATCGAATGATTAATAATTCTAACCAGTCTAATTATGCATAGAATTATTATTATATTTTCGCAATTTTTCACGATAGATGATTATCATTGCTATGGAAATGCTTTCAAATGTTATTTTGCGTTTCTTAGCAACGGCAATCTTGTTGTGGTTGTTGCCATGGAGACAGCGCAAGTTTTACTGATGATTCCTGTCATTATCGTATCCATTATTGTTCGGCAATAGATTTTGAAAATCTTGTGTTTTGGATTTTCAGTTTTGAGTAAATATCGTAGCTATCTAGTCATCTGTCAAGTTAGAACATAAGGTGAGTATCTATTTATTATAATCAATAATGCAATTATCAATTCTGAGCACTGACAAGCTACGTGATCTTTTTTGACTGATAACCTATTCTGTGACACTTGCTAAGTGATAATCGATATCGATATCGAAATCGAATATCGAAAAACAGAATGATTACTATGCGGATGGTGAAATATTCAAGTGGAACGATAACAGAAACATGTTAAAAATTTTAGTGAAATCATTTAGCTGCATTGCTGAAGACAAATTTGTATTAAGCAAAATTGAATATTAATACAAAAATTAAATATTCGTAGAAAAATGAAAATTTATGAAAATTTATTTTGTGCCCTGTAAGAAATATATTCGAAGAACATTGCAAAAGACGCGTTTGTTAAAGAGAAAAACATTTTGTCAATGCCTATACAAAATTTTGAAAAGAAATTAAATCTATGTCCAACTCGCGTAAGAGTTCGTTCAACGCAAAATTTCTTTATATGCAACACGTATGCTCATACAAGTCAATGTACTGTCTTAGCAGATGAAAAATATCACGGGTGATAAATGAACGCATATATACGTTATCACTCACTGATAAAACGAACGTATCGTAACTCATGATTTCCGCGAATAATAAATAACAACTTTTACTGTCCGTTTCTCCATTCATAAAGTCAATTCCACGAGAGCGCTCAGTAAGATTCTATTATCAGCACACGGATTCATTTTCAAAAAGAATCTTAATAATATCGCTGACTTTTCGTTTAATTCAAAATTTTTTCCCACAACGCGCAATAAGTTCTTATAGGTAGCCCTAAAGAGAATATTAATTACGAATTAACGCTATAGTGCAGTTTGGTGTTTCGTTACAATGGATTTTTGATAACCGCATCCTACGAGAATCCAATTGGCTCGTTTGACCGCATCCGTGCACATGCACGCACAGAAAATAAAAAAAAGATTTTTGGATCTTAAAAAAAAACAACCGATCTAAGCGGTTCTTCATAATGATCCACGGCGCATGCGCGCGTCGTGAATTTTTCTAAAGAAATTAAATCCTTCTAGAACCCTGACCGAATTGCATTGATCTCAGTGTGCCCGACGTTAATTAATTAATATTCTTGTTTAATACTAATTACATCGTTTCGTTGCACCGAGAATTTTTATTCGCGCGACGACCTGACTAATTGCCTTTTTTATTAATGATCTAAACGCCGTTGATCGTGTCAATTATTTTGATCGACTGTATTTATCGAATCGGTTTCTCAGATAAAACTGACGTATCGATTCGTGCAAACGATATTTTTGTTGGGGGCAGCACCGTCGGTAAGACCGAGTCTCACGAAATCGTATATACCATTTACGTATTTGATTTGGGTAATAACGAATTTTTATTCGCGCTTACATATTCGTTCCGTGCGCTTTCCGAAGGAAGATGCTCGCAATATTCCTACGATTCTCATAATATTACATAGTATGTTACATTATATTACGATACCATTACGATTTATACCGTTAGTTTTATACGTTACTTTATTGTATCGTGGTCGACCATTCTTACAAGGACCCACGTTAACGAGGTCCTTTGGCTCTGGACGATCTTGTATTCACAGCCGCGCATATTTTTTTTATTTTTCTCTAGTATTTATCAAGATGGGCTTAGCACCTAAGAACGAAACAATGCTCCTGATTGGATTTGGCACGCGATCATTCACGTTTCTTATTTTTTTTTATTCAACTCGACATTGACAACTAGCCAATTTTAACAGTCTCCTTCCTCGGAATTGTACTCGGGATCGATGCTCGATTCAGTTTTTGAACGGGAGCACCCCAGTTTTGGACGAAAAAATTCTGCACGGAATAACACTCTACACGAGAATTTTAGAAATTCTATGGAGGAGTACCCCAATTTTACACGGGCTAACTCTACACGGTTATTTCTACCTGCAAAACCTTACACGGAATAAGGACAGATTAGGATTTTTCCGGTCCCTTGATTTGACATTTGTTTATGGTTGTATTTTCTTTTCAATAAATTAGTGTACAATTTCAAACCAGTGTTCTACATTATTATTGATCCTGATGGTGTTTTAATTAAAAAAAATCGTCCTCGCTCGGGCAGCTGCTCCGATGGGCTTGTAAATGGTTAGGCTTGGTTAGGTTAGGATAGGCTGGGTCAGATTAGTTCAGGACTTGATCCAATAGCTAGTGACCATAATGATGGTTTAGGTAACTAAAATCGTCGACCACGCTCAGGTATACACATATATCTTACAGTAATTGAGGTATCGACATTACCACTCTTCAATTTGCATTTGTCTCGGTCCAGATATGCTAAATCCACAGTCGAACCTTGACCCCACGGATATCATAGTACTACCCACACCACTGCTGATCATTTCTATGCAATCATTTTACTCCACTAGTGTAAATTGCCATTACATAATTTCATATCATACAAACTAGAGCAGTAGCGCAATGACCCTCGTTCAATATTTTGTTCCTCGTCAAAAATATAAGCATTATAAAATCAAGGGACCGAAGAAGTCAATCTGCCTCTATTCCGTGTAAAGTTGAGCCATGTACAATTAACCGTGTAGAGATGATCGTGTAGTTTTCCGTGTAGATTTACGATTTTATTATTTAATATCGCGTAGAATAATTCCGCTTAGAGTTTGTCCGTGTGGAACTGGAGTGCTCCTGAAAAATTATTTCATGAATTCGCAAGCGATTTAAAATTAAAGGAAACACCGTCAGATGGTAAAACAGATATTTTTAAACTCGGTCGATAATTCGCCATCAGTACCGTCGATAAGGAGAAAACATATAACATAGTGGATGCCGCCACAAGAGCGTCCTAATCACACACACTCAATAGTCAATGCAGATTCTGAGCTAACGAGTGGTTTGTTATCCCCTGTATTGTCTAGATGAATTAATTAACACGCCACACGATTTATTCGACAATTCGCGCATACGTGCTCGATCAGGACCTAAAAATGCCACGCGATCCACGGTCAATTCGAGTTGATTGTATTTCATAAAATCGTGTGTACCTGCGTCGAATTTCGCCCCCTTTTTTTGTTATCCTGTTATTTTTCATCGCTTTCGACTGTTCGTCGATACCTTAGCAGAAGAGGGGAGCATCCCTCTGATCCCACCAATGAGCTGCCAGGAGCAGATAAAGCTCGTGATCACGAGCTGTGTATCCTGGTGGCGGTGGAGGCGGTAGCGGTGGTACCGGTGGCAGCAACGAGTAGCATGGCGGTGGCGGTGGTGGTGACGATGAAAGCGAAGTCGTGGAGAGCGTCGATGACGAAGGGGCTGTGACGGGAGTCGTCGGCGTCAGTGGCGTCGGTAGCGTCGGTGGTATCGCCATTAACGATGGCGAAGGTTCGGCCGGAGATCAAAGTGCACAGTCGAACATCGCCAGGGAACGCGTGATCACCTCATCCTGAAATGAATAATTAAAAATAACGAATTACCTCGAACAAACAAAAAATATTTAATATTTATATAAACTTTTTAAACATTTTTTCCTCCATGCAAAATTTTTTGTCGATTCAAATTATAGGTTTTTGCGATTGCGCCTCTTTATACCACGTATAACTCTGCGGGTTAAATTAAAAAAAATTATTTACAAAAAATATTTTTTGTAATATAAAACCTCTGTACGTCACAAGTATGAAAACTTGACAAAATACAATTTTTTAATACAACGCTATTGTCATACAGTTTCTGCAAGTGCGTAAAACTGTCGGTTGACAGTTTTGTATTGTACGAATTGTTGTTCGCCAAGCTTTTGTTGTCTGACAGAAAGTCATTTTAAGCGGACGGAATGCTTTTACCTTCAGACAGCTCTCAATGAACTCCTCAATCGTTATAACGCCATCTTGATTGAGGTCAAGCTTCCGGAAGACACGATCCAATTGTTCCCGTGCTTTTTTGTCCTCTTCGACATTGTGTCTACGACCCATTAGCTCATGCACAGCCATTACGACTTCTCCAAGTTCACCTCTGGTAATACAGCCGTCCCCATTAATATCGTAAAGTTTGAAAGTCCACCTCAACTTCTCGTAGATGCTCCCCCTGAGGAGGGTGGACAGTGTGACTAAAAGGTCCTACAATAATCAGAAAAAAATTCAATAAGAATTAATAAAACGTCGCAGTATATTATTAAAATAAAAATTCAAATTAATACTACAGTCACATTCAAAATTCACTGTACCCATACTAGACCCAACATCCATAACACGTAATTCCCCACAACTGCTACAACACACGGTAATGTCATCCATACAAGAAAGTAAAAAGCACAGCCCCTTATATATTACGGGCATAAATTTCAGTCATGTGAAAAATGTCGTCTGTAAGAAAGAAAGGAGTCATAGGGTGAAAGGAGAGACAAAAATAATAATAATAACACTCGTTTTGCATATCCCGACTTCCCCTTACTTCGCACACCGATTCTCATGCTCCTGTATCTTTATCATTTCGCTCCATCAGACTCTGAACCCATCAAGAAATACCGTAGAGGATGAGGCCAAGTAACTTTCAGTTCTTAACATTCAGCTTTATTGTCAATGACTTAAACGCGAGTGAAGTGGTAATTTTCAAAACAATATTGGTCCATTCGTTCCAGGAAAAAAAAATCAAATCATTTTTGCATGCATGACGAATATCAATTGACAAAAATTTGTTAGGTTAGGTTAGTTTTTTTTTTAATAACAATAATAAAATTATTTAGTAGCTGATTTGTATATCATTATAATTATATACTACTGTATGAATATACGGTATGAACCTTTTGAATATTTAATGTCACTATCGGCACTGATAAGCTGGACTTTTTAAAATAAATTATCAATAAATCTGATAGAATATGGATTATTTATATATATGAGTGGAATTTTAATTAACATCAATGTAAATGCAGGGATTAATGTATAGCTTATCAGCAGTTGCTGGTATCAATTGTTATAAACTGTATAAAATGGAAATTTTGTAAAAGTAATTTTTTTTTTACAATTTTTCATGCAATTTACTTGTCGAGTTTGTCATTAAAATATTTAATTTTGAAAATTGCCTCTAGCCATTTCTATGACATGTCTGCTCGCATTTAAAGTGAAGCTAATGAGCGGTCGGAAATATTTTTTTTCATTAATTAATTTTTTTTCTCTCTTTGAACCCAAGGGAAATCTGTTTTTGGCATCCAGAGTGGAAAAAATAACGATCGCGTAAAGAATGCTCGTTTTATTTTTTAAGCAACAAATTTGCAAGAGGAAATTGAATTAATTACCCTAAAGCTGATAGCCCCATTGCAATTAACGTCGAATGCCTTGAACACGTAATGGGCGTAGAGGCTCGAGTCTGAAATTGGCAATAAGAGTGCATCGTTAATCGATTAATGAAACATTCGATAATTAATCGATTGGAACTTACTGCCGTGTGGGAAGAATTTCGCATAGATGTCCTTGAACGAGTCCTCGTGTACGACTCCCTCGGGGCATTCCTGTAAAAAGAAAAGAAGAAAAAAAACATTCAGATCAAAATCGCTTAATATGTCACTCTAATAGAATATAAAAAATTAAATTTGAAAATAATTCCCAAAAAATGTTTTTATCAAATTCCATACTATTATTATTGTATAAAAGTGTATACTGCATAATTCTGATATATTTTTAGCGAAACTTTGAGAAAGCCACATGAGGATTTTACATACAATTTCAAAAAATACTTTTGAAGCGTACAGGTAAATTTTTATATATTATACATAAATGTATTTTTATTCAGCTCAAAGGCACCAAACTGAAGTTAACCCTTTCGTCTGATTTCTATGACAAAACCAACTTCAGCTGATGCGTTTGACCTAACTAGCTTGGTATATACATATATACAGGGTGTTCCAAAACTACCTGGCCCGGTGGGTATGGCGGTGTTCGGGAGGCTTCACTGATCACGAAAATGACCTTTTTGTCCGGAAGGTCATAGTTTTTAAATGGGAGCAGGTCAAAGTTGACCAATCAGAGGGAGGCGTCAAGAGAAACGTAGGCACCTACGAACTCTGAGTTTTCTTTCCTCGCTTTTGTTTCTCGGTGGCTTCGGGCAGGATCACGTCAGCCGAAGACATGCCTACTGGAAACAAGAAACAAGAAACCAGCCACCGAGAAACAAAAGCGAGGGAAGAAAACTCAGAGTTCGTAGGTGCCTACGTTTCTCTTGAAGCCTCCCTCTGATTGGTCAACTTTGACCTGCTCCCATTTAAAAACTATGACCTTCCGGACAAAAAGGTCATTTTCGTGATCAGTGAAGCCTCCCGAACACCGCCATACCCACCGGGTCAGGTAATTTCGGAACACCCTGTATATATAATATAAGAATTCACGTAGTTAGTATAAAAATATACGAGATACTTTTCTCAAACTGCAAAGTCTCGTTATTCTCGTATGCAGATGTTCGCTTCAAACAATTCAGCTTCCACATGAGCAGAACCGGTCCATCCGCGCCGAGGATGAGAAATGGGACGAATTCGTGATACCAGAAATAAAAGTGCTTGCTTTGCAAGTATTGGTCAAGGGATGGAAAGAGTATCCAATTTTAGAAGGTTTGCCAACTTGCGTCGACAGATATACATTGGTAGAAATGCTACCAACAGATTTGCCATTCGAGCTGGTTATCGTAAAAATTCCCTACGAGCATTATTGGGAGCGAGCCGCTAAAGACAGGTATTTAACGAGTTTCTAAATTAACACAAGTCATTACTGTATTGGCCAGTAAAAATTGCCATGAATAAGTAGCAAAATTTAAAAAAAAATTGCAAAAATTTTTTATAAATAATTATTCCATTTGTTTTTTCATTCCTTATTGGTGGACGCACAACAATCCTGGCGAGCATGGCAACTCTTGGCGACAACTTTATTGCGAACGCCATTTTGCTGATTATTTGGAAAATCTCGAACCCGCTTTCTTCGAGGGACAACAAGAAGCTTGCAACAACTTAATTAGCCTGGTGCGAAATTACATCCAGACATTGAAAATTCGACGTCTCGTACCCAGCAAGTAAGATCGGCTAGTGGTTAATAATTTTGTTAACGATCGTCACAATGATACAAGTAATCAACAGTCAGTTGTTGTTGTCTTTACAAAAAAAGTTGTTTTTTCATCAAACAAGACGGTACAATGATTAAACAGCAACGGTTGCTCTCAATGAAAATTTTTCGATAAAAAGTAAAGAGTCACAAAAACTTCAACTTTTATTGTATACAACGACAAAATTGCCTCAGTCTTACGAACTCAAGTCAATCCTTATAACTGTTGTATGTCAACCAAAAATGTATATAAACGTCGTGCCGATGCATATCAATGAGATGCAGTACAACACTATAGAAAATGCATATGAAACAACCCTGAAATAGACTGTTGTATGAATACAGCTGTATAATATAACAAAATATACAACAACAAAAGTGCTCCAGTCGTACGAACTCAAGTCAATCCTCATAATTGTTGTATGTCAACCTAAAATCCATAGAAACATCGTGTTGATGCATATCAATGAGATGCAGTACAACACTATAGGAAATGCATATGACACAATCCTGAAATAGACTGTTGTATGAATACTGCTGTATAATATAACAAAGTACAATATACCAGAACAATATAAAAAACTGAAAACGCACTAACAACAACAAAAATCAATATATAAACCGAAAGAAACAATTTGTTTTAAGGAAACAATATATAACAACAACAAATAATTAGTAAAATTTCTTCCTCAACATCTTCCTACAATTTTCTACTTATACAGTCACCCATCTGGAAATGTGCCTAATTGGCGCGCCTGGCTAATTAGATGTTTCCCTGTGTATTTAATTAACATGGAATTGGTCTCAGTATATCGCGTTTCAGATTCGATCTGAATTCTAGTGTAACTGATTATTGATTACTAGTATCGTACATGATGCATGGTATATGTATTAGTATATATATCAATTATATATGTATCCTATTTCAATAGCACCTCATCAACCGGGCCAGACAAGGACGACGAGGACAAATTACCAGCAACCGAATTGATTGTGCACCATATACCATTAAATTTGATCTTACCAAAGTTTCATCAACTTCGAGAATTGTATATAAATTTTGGAATGATATACATGAATGACGGTTTCGAGTGGCGAGACTTTGAGTGAGAATTTTTTAAATCACAAAATTCATATATTTCAATATTGGAAAGTCGATGAAATTTTTATATTAAGATTTTCGGTCGAGGATTGCGTCAAACTGTCACGTTGTCTCAGTGACAGTTGTGCGTTAAAAAAATTTTCTCTAACGAGAAGCAACCTGGATCAGCCACGTGTCGCTGCACTTTTACGAGGAATAGCAGTAAATAATCGAGTGAGTAAGAACAAGAGGAAAACAATAACAAAAAATTGCATATATTTTTCAAGGTCTTGCTAATGTTGTTGCGTACGGTATGTATCACAGTCGAGTTACAGAAATTTTTGTTCTTGTTGCAAGATTGAAATCCTGGATTTGTCTCACTGCAAGCTCGGCGACACGGGCGCGCATGCAGTTGGCGAATTTTTGACAAAGCACAGGCGCCTCAAGGAACTTCATCTGGCGAATAACAAGATTGGCGAGAGTGGAGTCGCTGGAATTGTATATGGACTCTTACAGCAGAACTCGACTCCATTGAAACATCTTAATTTACGGCTAAATCCACTGCGGGATGCAGGCGGCGCCCATATATGTGGATGTATGAGTAACATATACATATATATTGAATTATTAAAGAAAATTGTACCGCCTGACGGTGATTTTTAGCATGGAAATTAAATAGAATAATTTCAGTTGATTCAATATTCTTAAACAACTCTGTATATAGGGTATGCAACTACCTAAGGGTGGTTTCGAAATATAAATTAAACAAAGCAGCTTGTTGGTGCAATTTTTTTTCTCATAATTCTGTATATATTTATTATGTGGATTTTTATGTTTTTTTTTTATATGAAAACAAATTTTTTTTTAATTTATCATTGATGATTATATGACGTGTAGTATCTGTGATTCAGTTTTACTTAGGAATAAGAACATACAGGTGCTCAACTTGAGCGGATGCCAATTCACTGGGGAGACTGGAGTAGGAATGGCGGAAATTATCGCTTCCGGATACATGAAATCCTTCACGTTGGAGCTCGACCTTTCGAATAACGACTTGGGTCCGATTGGTGAGGGAAAATTTTTTGTCAAATCGGATGCTGGATAATTAATTGAATGTAATTATAGCTGGGGAGGCTTTTGAAGTGGGGATGAAGACATGTTCCGTGATATTAAATTTGGACGTGAGAATGTGCAATTTTACTAAGGAATCTGAATATTCCATCAGTGAGAGTATAATCAGGTTAGTCAATGTTGAAGATAAGAATTTTTTATTTTCATATATGTAAATGGGTGTTGATTTCGAAAAATGAGTTTCGTATTTTCGGACTGTGACGCAATATATATATATATTTTTTTCAGAAATCGCGAGGACAAGAAAAGAGAAAAATTAGGAGCATCTACTGCAAGACATAGCAGTGTGTACGTACCTTTACGTGCGAAAAGCTTACAACCGCCGTCTGAATATAAAGCAGTGCAAGAGCGAAAAGAATATGATTGATGGAAAATCAAAATTTCGTTTTATCATACTGTTCGAAAATCAAAATCAAAAGTACTAAAAAATAGTAACCTCGATTTCGATTAACTGATGAAGTAAATTATCTATTCAAATTTACATTAAGTCGTTCCTTTTTACATTAATTTACACGATTAATATGAAAAAAATTATCCCACCCGCCACACCCACCACCAAAAATAATATTCATATTTTCAACCAAACAGTAAAATTTTATTTAAAACTTTTTGCGTTTACTTACTCTTTCGCATCATTACTCTGCTTTATTAAATTTCTCAAATAAAAACAAAATAAAATTAACATCGCATTCAACCAATTGGATTTGTTTACTCACCGACGCTACAAATACGTCAACTCAATATTGAATCCTCAATTTATTACGTGGTCGAATCCACATTCTACCGTGTATCACAACCGGGATCAAATAATTCCCAATATAATCGAAAAAAATGATATTTCGTCGAGATAATTGAAGAGCATGCGTTATCAGTGCGTAACGAATAAAAAAAAATTATGTATCGCAGCGACAGTAAAAATATCAAATTTTTGCCAAAATCGATAACTGATTAATTGAAAACAAAGTTGACTATCTCAACAAACTAATATGTCGTTAATAAGAAAAAAAGATAACAAACAATAAGTAAAAACAATATTTTATAAACAGAAACAATGTACCGGGTTATTCAGTTGAAACGCACCTATCTGAATTCATATGCTAAAAATCACGTTAAGATTGTACGTTTTTACTGAACAACTTTGTATGCAGTGTGACGTGATTTTTCGAATCACGGTCCCAAGGCGGCTCCGGTTACCGATACAGATAACGTTCTCGATTTCTGGTTCCCTTCGGGTCGTCACCCTGCTCAGAAACTACACTCTCGGGTTGATTCGTATAGTTATGCCAAGGCTCTCGTAAGATTTCGTTATTGTTTAGTTGAGGTCGAGCTGCTCGAATCTGCCGTGGGGAGATGTTCTCGACGTACCGAGTTGCCCGGCAGAGGAGAGTACCCGACGGAGACGTCTCCACGGACCGGCAGAAGCCCGGGTGAGATACCGGCGCCCCGCTGGAGATGGGCAAAGGGCTGTAGAGCGGGCGGAGGTAGTTTTGATACGATTAAGGGCAGGAGTGGAACCTCCTCCCGAGTTAAGGATGTGGTGCCCAGCTGTCGCCCGATGCCCTGGGGAAGCGGCCGTGGAGGATCTCCAGAAGTTACGTACCGATTCGTTAAGGAACGCTCTCGATTTGGTTTAAAGGGACGATTCGAAGGAGATAGAAGAGTTATCGGTTATAAGGCTCTCGACCAATCAGGATGATTAGTTCTCGGATTCTCAAGGCAGTCTTGTCTCGGGGCACCGACCGAGGTGTCACGGGGTGACTCGCGCTCCCGTGCTATCTGCTATCAGCCTGAGCGGCCGTGCATTTCCGTCACCGTCCGCTCCCGTTCGTGTATCCAGTTGCGTTTGCTGATTTTACGCGACCCCAAAAATCGACAGGATCCGTTAAGCTATCGCCTCCTCTGATAGGTTCCGTCAGAGCTCTCGTTCTTGGTGGAGTTGGGCCTGTTCCACCCCAACTCCCAGTTTACACCAGCTCGTCAGTTCCCGGTGAAAAAAGAATTGGCTGGCGCCCGCCTAGCTTGCGGATGCACGAACGACGGGTGGACGGCCGAAGGTAACGTAGGTTGGTTCTCGAAGATAGTCGTTCTCGTATGTTTTGCTATCGGTGTCGGGTCATAACATAAAGAATTATGTTACAGCAGAAACAACAATTAAAAATCACAAATTGTTGTTGCCTATTGTACATACGTCGCGAAGCGAAATTGAATAGTAGATTGAAAAAAATTGTGTATAAAGCACAATAATAATAACAACTACATAGAAACGTGAATCGAGCTTTTTATCATTGTACAAAACGAAATTCACTTCACGTCTGAAAGGATTCGTTTTATTGAGAACGAACCTTAAGGGAAATTAATAAATGGCACAATTCGACGTCGAAGAATGGACGCCTGACGTCCAATCGATCAATTCGGTATTTCCGATAGAATTTTCAAAGCCAATACCTGCCAAGGAGGAAATTATACGAATCGCTTTCAAGGAAAAAAGTATTTCCTGTTTCGGTTTAGCGGACGTTCTCAAAAAATTTTAATATTCTTGATTCACAATAGTGACTATAACACGAATAATATTATACGTCAATATTAACCGTCTAAAACCGATAATTGCAATATTAATCAAAATACAGTAATACCTGATAGCGTGGCATTAGGTTGAGCGTGATAATCAATATGTATACCGATAACGATAACGTGCTACCCCTAGACTGCTGCAACTAACTGCAGATAATTACAGTCGACAGTTCAATTATTCCGACAGTTGGTAAAACTGATAACTGTTTTTCAATTTTTTTTTTATCATTACCAGGTCATATTACGTGCATTAAAAATTCTTTGATAACGACTGGCATTATCAGTGAACTCCTTTTTTTTTCAAGTTGGAATACTGCAGTTTCTAAGAAAATGTAATTATAAAGTTGGTAGAACAATTTTTTTGTGACTTTCGCTACTTTGCGTGTTGGATTAATTCGTGATGTTTGAAGTCACGTGATTAACTGCAAAATGTAGTAAGTAATTTTTTCGTTTCGATACACCGTATCAAGTTTCGAATTAATATTGAACTTTATCCCAGGATTTTGATTACCAGTCGGTAGTTCGGTCAATTTATACGTCGGTAATGCCTTTCAGTTTTACGACTTGAAAATTGCATCTACTGTTTCGCTCGCTCCCATAAAGAATCTCGAATGCAGTTCGCCGAGAGCTTTAAGAGAGGAAATAAGACGCGGCAATAAAGTTAAAATACGTGATATTCATTGGCCGTTACAGTGTTTACGTCATCAAAGTAAATCTTGAATGAAACAGGTAAACAGGAGATTGTATAATAAAAAAAAAATCATTTTTAAAACCGTAACGGTGTGAAGTCAACTTTCCAGTCGTTTCGGCGGCGGGATTTTTAAATTCAAATAATGAAAAAAAAAGTGCACAAATAAAAACTCTTAATTAGATAATTATAAAATGTATCTTGAATATGCGTCAAGTTCGTCTAACTTGATCCACGCATGCGCAAACTCAACATGTGTCAACAGCAAGTAGCAAGATGGTGTTGATAAACTTTGACAGCTTAATTATTTACAAATGTCAAAGTGACAGATATAATCGATTAATCAGCATATATGTATAACAGAGACTAGATATAACTCGATATATTAACACGTGCAACTTGATATACAATATATTAATACCATAGTAACGGAACTAGATCGCAGAACGCTTTAGAATTGAATTGCGTTATGGATCTTTATGCAAATATAATAAGTATCGAGCGTCCCGGCGCATAGCGTCGAGCACGCGACGGTATGTTAAGTAGCCATGGTGGCTGTTGCCGTCCATTTGCATGTGAAAAAAATAAACTTACGAGTTTACACGACCATAACTAAAAGAACCAACTACGTTAAATCCTCAAAAAATCGGAATAAATAATTCGTGAAGTAATCTTGCAAAATAATGGAGCCCATAAAAAAAAATGTCACCATAAAAACAAAAGTCAAATCAGTATCAACCTAGATGGCACTACGAAGAGTGAAAGCTGGACCAATAGAAAGGGCGGGAAAATTTGAAATCCATAAACCACCACGTACAACAAAAATTATGTGAGAAGACAATAATAAGGATGCTGCGTGTACCATGGGAGATAAAAAGTTATTATATTTATTTTTCATCTCCCACCTTGCCCCAATGGTAACCAAAAGAATCACCTGGGATGCTGCATCTGTACCAATAACGAAAAATCCAAAATCCACACGCGCAGTTCGACTCGATGAGAGACTCAATTTTCTTACGCAAATAGAAAAGCATGTCCGGCAGATCACTCTCCCAGCATCCGTACTACGTAACGAAAGAAAGATGGCGCGATGAACTGGCTTTGGTTAGTCCGGACGATGAATGGCAAAATACGGGTATTGGTGCGTGTACAGCCGAAGGGTGAATGTATCGTAGTCGCGAGTGTTGGAATACTCCCGTGACGTCATACTCGCAGGAGAGAAGATCGATAGAGCTCAGCATCCCACTCTTCTCAAGGCCCCGACCTCACCTCTGGTTACCTAACCTGTACTTACTACCCTATCCCACGTCGATCCTCGGCACCAGGATCTCGTACCTTAGACTTGAAAAAAAATTTTGAATTTTTTCCATCCCTTTTTTTTGGTCCACACACCCACGTGGGAAATGCAGGAAGCTGAGGCTGTACGTGACGGTACGATGGAGACGCTTGAAAATTTAAGTACTTACATTCAAGTCTCGTTATGCCGGATACGTTTGCTGAAGTGGCAATTGGTTGCTACGAAATTGATCATCAGCTGTTTCGTAATTGCGGCTAATTCAATTGTCTTTTTTTTTTCTTCCCTGAGAGGATTTCGTGCTTTGGGTAAATGACTTGTGTAATTTTTTATACGAGGAACGTGATGACAGATGAGTTTTGGAGTATCGGTGATTCGAGTAAGCGAATAAGCTTTTTATTTGGATTTTTTTATAGGTTAGAATCTTTGTTTGCGTGCTTGGAAGTCATCTGGATAACTTCGAATTCCCGACGTATCCAAGTGAAATACGATTCGAATATATTTGATTTTGGTAGATTTATATAGGGGGTCTTCTGTCTGTAACTGATTGCGAGCTTTGTAAGGAATGAGGGATGAATTTTTGTGGAGGGGGGGGGGAGAGAATATATTTAAATAATAATATACGAGATATCGTATATCATTTAAATACTACGACGGTCAAATTACAAGCTCGTCCTTAGAACTTAGAATTTAATTATAAATATATATCGATATATATAAATATATATTCGATTAAATATATTTATATATTTTATTTGCTCGATATTCACGTAAAAATAATGATATATCATACTTGGAATATATTTAAATGTAATTATAGGTGTATCCAGTATATTTTACTTGATCAATACTTATGACAAGTGATTATATATATTTGTTCGAGTTATTGATATATCTATATAGTTTGACTGATTTGATAGTTACTGAAATCTAACTATGTATATATAT